AGCAAATTAAATTACCGAGCGTGTAGCTCAGAAAGACAGCTGGTGATCACGGCATGTAGCTGAAGGCGTGCAGAGCACATGGCGTCTATTATACTACAGCAGCACTTCCCAGAGTCAGATCAGCTACTGTGAAATGCTGCTCTTGTCATTTGCTGGTTTAACACAGTCTGAAATATTTTACAGTGCTCAACATCTCAAGGCGGTAGTATTATAAAGTAACTTTATACGAATACACTTAAAGCCCCGTGGAGCAAAATGTTATTAAATTGTTCTGTGCCTTTGTTGTAATGCACTGATTCCTTTAGAGTGTGTCTCCACTGTGAAGCCTTTGTGCGAACACAGTGAAATCAGTGCTCTTGCTGCAGTGTACTCGGTGTGAAAGTGTTGCCAGGCATCAATTTGTTAGAGATGCAAATGTCACCAGTGCACCGCCAAGGCCGCGCTCATACCCTAAGCTTGTTTTGTCCTCATCCAAATTTGATTGGCCTTGATGAGAACTATCTCGCAAACACAACGCGAATGTATGCGCGCACGCCTACTTTAAAGTTTAAATTTCGCATTTTTAGTTGTCCTGAGGATTTTCTTCAACGTGTTAAATCCAATTAGCCACCCTCTGCTTGTTCCTGCCACTCTTATCAGTCCCAGTCCTTCTGTAGACTCACATAGGATTTATTAAAAATTTAAGACCTCCTCTTTTAGGCAGATAATATATTGGAAACCCTGCAGCATCAACATAAAGCTGTTTAATAATTCATTTGTGTAGCTTGGGGAAGACACAATATGGACTGTGGCACTTCAGCTTTGTATTGCTGTGACATTTTTACAGAGCCAAACTGTGCAATAAATCTTTCGACCAGAAGCTGACGCATTGCAGCTTTGAATGACATAAAGTCATATGGATACTGAAAGATTGGTAATAAAGTTGACAGGGTGAAGTGTATTTAATTGTTTTGGATTGACCAATCTCTAAGCCCCGCCACTCTTGCAGAAGCGCCATGTGACAGGATTTCTATTTTAACACCGTGGATACAGTTTGTAGTGACAGCTGTGACAGACGGGCTCAAAAATCCTTTTAAATGGTAAATGGTCTGTATTTGTATAGTGCTTTACTTGGTCCTAAGGACCCCAAAGCGCTTTACACTATACACAATCATCCACCCATTCACACACTGGTGATGGCAAGCTACAGTGTAGCCACAGCCGCCCTGGGGCGCACTGACAGAGGCGAGGCTGCCGGACACTGGCGCCACCGGGCCCTCTGACCACCACCAGTAGGCAACGGGTGAAGTGTCTTGCCCAAGGACACAACGACCGAGACTGTCGGAGCCAGGGCTCGAACCGGCAACCTTCCGATTACAAGACGAACGCCCAACTCTTGAGCCACGATCGCCCCAATGGTCCCCTTTTAAACAATGGTTCCCTGATTTTGCACAGGAGGAAACAAAAACAGACGTCTTATTTTTAGATGATAAGTGTAGATTTTATTGCCTGGGAAAAAAACAAATAAATAAAACATAGTTGTTGTTTCAGAAGCAGATTTTATGAGCTGAGCTTAACTTGTTAATTAAATCTAACTTTTTTGTGTAAAACGTTTGTGATGTAAAAGGGTCTTAAATAGGTATATGATGGTAAAGACTGAGAAAAGTCCCAGGTAAAGTCAGCTATCCCTTAACTGAAATGATGAAAACTAAACAGGAAATGTTAAAAATTTGACTCATGTGTACTACAAAAATGTGTTTTTTTTCCTCCTGTTATTTGTAAGATATTTTATTAATATTTTAAAACAGATTAGCCCATGAGCAGTGGTAAACATTAGGGCTTTGCCTGAGCACAGCTGCCGTGTAACAAATGAGTTAACTGTGAATAGGATTATAATACTAGTTTACTAATGTCATCAATTTCTCACATAGCATAAAAAAATAGAGTAACGCAACTATAAGACATGTATGAAAAACATAGTGTGCAAAAAGAGCGTAAAACGCTATTTTTTTCAGTTAGGTTTAAGGTTCCCAACCTTTTTTGCGCCACGGGCCGGTTTAATGTCAGACAATATTTTCATGGACCGGCCTTTAAGGTGTCGCGGATAAATACAACAAAATAAAATGATACGGCCAAGAGAAAAACTGTGGTATTTTGTAAATATAATAATAAACACGAATTCACTGTGTAATTGTGTAACTTTATTAGCAGCGTCCTCCTGAAATGCGGCAACAACATTGAGAGTAACATCCTCCTCTTAATGCTCTCTGGTCGTTAATGTAACGTGTAACTATTTCTTTCAAAATAAGACACACAACTACAACACGGGAAAAGAGTCAGGGAAACCAAGTTAACGATAAAAAACCTGAAAACCATACATTTCACACCCGAGCCTCAGCTCTCGCGGCACGGTACCAAACGACTCGGCCCGGGGGTTGGGGACCGCTCTCTTTAATTTTTATCGATTAGTATTGACTATATTTTTTTGACAACTTCACCCATGAGAGTAATCTGTTGACCAGTTTGTGTAAAAACCAACCAAACAAACAAACAAACAAAAACATTTGTATGTATTTAGGTTAATATTGGGTTTTTAGACTAATACCGATATTTGATAGTTAAAATAAGCCAATCTCAGCTGGTATTTTTTTCTTTAAGACACACAAAACATAAACTGATTTCTCCCTCGTGTCACTCTCATTTGGTGGCGGCAGATTGCTAGCCCTCCCTGAGGCTGGTCTTGCTTGATGTTTCTTCCTGTTAATAGGGAGTTTTTCCTTCCCACTGTCACCATGTACTTGCTCATAGTGGCTCATCTGATGGGGCTTCTTTCTAATATTTCCTTTAACTTGAGGCGACTGTTGTTGTGATTTGGTAATACATTCTCAGTTTAGTTTTATTTATATAATTGAATAGAATTTTAATAACACTTGTTAGATGTAGTTATTCGTGTAAACTTCCTAAGACCATAAGTAAAAAATAATTTTATACTGTGGCTCTCTGAAGCTATATTTAACTATGAAAGCTAGGAAGGGTGTGCAGCTTCTGTCAGGGCAGAGGCACAGCTTTTAAACCATACTTTACATTTATGCGCATGTCTCTTGTCTATGCTGTAGCCTGAAGCACACCACAATGATAAGTATGGGCAGTGGAAGGAAGAGATTATTGAGGGGTACAGCAAACAGTCAAAAACTGATATCAGTTTTTAGTGTTTTAAAAAACGTGTGTGTGCTCTTTTTTTTTTTTTTTTTTTTTAAATGTCCCTTCAGCATCTGCGTCTTTGGTCAGTAACATTTTGAAAAACCTAAATGCATTAGTTCAGTAAAATCTCATCGACCCATTCATAATAGAACAAAAATGTAATTATATAGAATCCTGCTCCCTTTGCCGGTGAAAGTCAATGGAATTTGTTTGTGAGTAATCCTTCCAGGGATGGAGTCCCTTATCTAATTTCTCCCTTCATGTATTCTTCTTTAAAAGCCTGAAACCCCTTTTTCCTGTCATGTAGCCAAACCTGCCCTTTGACCTTCTGTGAGAAGGGACACCACTGTGAGAAGGGGTCAGGAAATAATTCAAGTACCATTCCTAGGTAGTAGTGAGCTAGGTCACACGGGACTGTAAATATATTACATTTAAAGGCAGAACTTTCATGGAGGATAAATTATGGGACTCCTTATCAGCAGCCACCTCTCATCCAGAGCTGTCAAATGATTTACAGTAAGCTGGCCACTGCGTACCTTAGAATTTGCATTTCATAACACCAAATGTGCTTCCTGGTTCTGAAACAGCCCCCACAGTGTGATTGAAAATTAGTTAATAATTCAGAGTCGTTGGAAGCAGTGGGACGGGGATGGCGGTGTTTGCTGTTCGCTTCACAGCTGCATGGGGTCTGCCAGTGACAGATGGCTCAGCCCATGTGGAGAATTTAGTGCCAGTATATCCCAATAGAGTGTTGGACACTGTGTGTGCGTGTCTCTTTTCCCTCACCCTGCTCTTCTTGCTCATTCCTTTTGTCAATCTCACTCTCTCACTTCATTCAATTGTGTAAGCAGCATTGAATTTATATGGAGAAGAAAGACAGAGGGGGAAAGCGCTAGAGCTTAATGTTGATTATTTCATAGTTTTATATTTATAGTAGTTTAATCACACTTTGGTGTTGGAAGAGTCATTTGAAAATCTGTAGCTCAGATGTTTCCCTTGTTCAACTGTTGGTTTTTATCACAGAATGTGGCCTGTAGCAGTTTTGTAAGTTGTTGTTGTTCTCCTGCTGCTCATCTGTAGGGTGTCCAGGTGTCTCTGAAAGATATTTTCAGCTCTCTGCATGGGTGCAGTCACTGACACTGCCTGCAATAGTCAGCTCGAGGACAGCTGGTACTACCTGTTGGGAATCGCAGAGACAACAGGATATTGCAGGCATTCTGTTATGGCATTATCAGAGCCCTGATACTGGATTTGCTTGCCAGTGGATGTTTTGTTTTGTTTTGGTTTTTTTTTTTACTAAAATTCATACTATTTTCTACTGTAATGATGCAATCATTCAAAAGTGGTTACCCATTTCATTCAAAATCAATTTAGATTTAAAAGTGAAGTTCAAATTAGTCCCATTTAAAATATCACAGAGATATTTTAAATATTTAGAGCTGTTCATGTTTTACATTTCTAATGTTACACAAAATCTGACTCTATATTTATACCAGTATGTGCGGAGCGGTGATGTCACTTTGCCAGCTCACACGTTGCTGGGGCTGAGTACCGTAAACTGTTTGCTCAGCAATCTTTAGAATGACCACACTGACCTAGAAACTGATCCTGAAAGAGTGGGAAAAAAAATTTCCAGAATGTGTGACATTTGCAAATGATTGCATTCTGCTTTTGGTTTTCCATTTTCCACAGTGTCACAACTTTTTTGGGAATTGAGGTGATATGCATGAGCCTGCAAATGCACTACTTTGAAAGTGTGTCGGTTTCCAAAAAGAAAAAGTAACTTAACACCTTATTTTGGGATGAACTTGTTTTTCCAGAGCTGCCAGAGAACTGGACAGACACGAAGGAGACTCTGTTGGAGGGGATGGTGTTCAACGTGAAGTACCTGGGTATGACTCTGGTGGGCCAGCCTAAAGGAGAGGACATGGCCTCTGCTGCCATTCGCAGAATTGTTGCCACGGTGAGTCTCTATCCCCCATTAGAAGCTTAAACCTAATGCATTATAATGCATGTCACTATATGAGCTGTGCTGGTATTACTTGATTTTACTAAACTAAGTAGTGTATAAATTATACCCTATTAGCAAAAATCTGTCATCAAGATCTAGAACTTAGAACGTTTTTATTGTCAATGTACAGTTGCTTATACAGTGAAATTAGTTAGCCAGACCACAAAGGTCACAATCATATTTCTAAAGTTTAAAGAGGGAAACTGTGAACATTTCAACTGCAGTGATATTTATTTAGAGGATTACTGTGACAATGTACTTTCAAATTCCAGTGCACATTATCTGAGTGACTCTAAGATGACTGATTGCTAAATTTAGATTTCATCCATGTCATCTTAATGGCTCAGGACATTGTTTTAAAGATAAGCAAGCAAAGGGTCAGTGAATTTGATTGTCATCATAACAGGAGCAAAATCACTGTCACACTGTCAGAATCATTTAAACTATAACCTTTGATTATTGTCTTATATGAGTATTAAGGATAAACAGCTCAGTTAAAGGAAATCTTTTGATTGAGACGTTCTGCGAAATATTTAACAGCTTACTGCGATTACTCTTAAACCAAGTAATCAGCATCATTCACAGGGAAATTTCTGTAATATGCTTGCCAAGTTGTTTACAAAGTTTATCTCTGTGTCAGGGTTTGCACGTATATGCATGGAAATAGAGCAGCTAATCCAGGATTATCAGGGGTTGCACACATGCAGAAGGCCAATCTCTGTTTTCATGTTTGTGCTTACCACCAGCATACTGGGGATTTCTGGGTACGGTTTTCTACATTAGTTCAGCCGGCTGGCAGTTTTCTCTTGAAACTACAAGAAAACCATTGCATTTAAACCAGTTAACTTGGAAACATACCAAGAAGCCAATTCCTGGACCGTTTTTATTCATGCAAATTGATACTCATGTTTCTGTTTCTACTAACGCTCACACTTGCACACCTATTCACTTGGCACTTTCTCAACAATGCAAATGTCTGATGTTTCTTTGCAGAATGAACAGCCTGGCACAGGCAGCAGTACAATCATAAATCCCCCGCCTCTCAATTAGAGACTGAACCAAACCTAATGGTGGGATTAAGATTCAGTTGATTTACACCAAGACAAAAAGTCTGTTCCCTCGGTAACCATTATAATTGACTGAACTGAATGGGTATATTGAATAAATAAGTGACTTTTCTGTTCACTACATGCTTCAGTAAGACATGATTAGACAAGACAGGGGAAGCAAACATAGAGAAAGGCTGAACTTGGCGTATCTCAAGCCGACAGATTGGTTTTTGCCTTGTGGCATGGCACTCGAAACATGACGCCGGCAACTGTAGCCGTTAGCGCTTCCTGCATGAAAGAGCTACCACAATCAGCTACAGCACGCTTTTAAGCGTTGTGGTTCTAAGCAGAGACTATTGTTCAATGTCACCATCTCCAGGGTATTACAATTCCTACAGCAAGCCATGGCACCATTCCCATTGTCCTTGAGAAGTCCTAGTTTTGTTTAAGCAAAGATCTCACTCCTACTGATCTTTAGCTTCTCACCATCATTCTTTTATGAATAAAAAAGTTCTTACACAATTCAACATATGGAAATACTAAATTATGTAGTTCTTTAAATGTATTTGTATTTATATGTATTTAATCTATTCATTGGTGGTCACTCTACTGATGCTTAGCCTGATATCTGTTGAGTGTCGCAAAAAACTGCTGTCATTTGCTATTTAATTGTATTATCTGGAGGTTATTGTCACTGTCAACAGTATTTTCTGGAAGTCCAGATGGTGTAAAGTTTCAGGGAGAGTCAGTGGCTGCTGGCCCGACCTGGAGTGCTCATTCTGGGCTGCATGTTGCAGCTTTTCTCCCCTCATTCTGTCGCTTTTTATAAAGCAGGCTGCTTGGTTTTGCTTAACAGCATACTGTTTACAAGTTGAGGGCTTTTAGTGTTTGATCAGAAGGTCATTTCGTATTAATGTCAGAGTGACATAGAAGGCCTGCATTTTCTTCTATGAGGCAACATTTCCTCCAGTTTCTTCATCTTCTTTCATCTATGTTTGTATACACAGTGTGCGTCTGCTGTGCAGAAGTCTTGAGCCATCCTTCCTTTTTCCTAGTTTTTGATAGGAAAATGAGAAACGGGTGCAGCAATGGCCTCCTTTATTCCTCAACATAGCCAGGCTTTCTTTTTTAAGAAAAAATGTTTAACTAGTATTCAGAAATACTTCTCTAAGTTACTGAAGGACATTCAAAGCTCTTTTTTGGATTTTGGCTGCCTTTTTTTCCATTCTTTATCAAGATGATCCCACACTGCCTCAACAATATTAAGGTAGTGTTTCATTGTCTGTTCTTTTATCCTGGTATACTTTTATTATAGCGAGTTTGAGATTGTTGTCGTGCAAAAATACTATCTGGAACATGCCATTGAGACACGTTCCAGATGATATTACATGTTGGATCTAAATCTGACTATATTTTTCTGCGTTCATAATTGCATTCATTTTGACAAGATCTCCAACATCGCTGGCTAAAATGCAACCATGACAGAGCCTCCAAGGTGTTTTACAGCTGGCTGTAGATACTCACTGTTGTACCTCTCTCCTGACCTCATCCGTACACGTTGACAGAAATTTGAACCAAAAATGTCACTTTGAATTCATCACCCCATCAGAACTCTTGCCACTGATTTAATTTGGCATAAATACAGCCACACTTCCATTTCAACCATCTTTGATGAGGCTTGAGAGAACAGTAGACGGATCAACTGAAGGGCTATATCCATCTCTTAGATCCTGTGTCAGGTCTTTGATGGATTGCTTTCTATTTCTTAAAGACATGACCTTCATATACTCTTCACCTGCTCTTGATTGGTTGTACAAAATGACTATTTCATGTCAACTAAAGAAATGGCACAGGCTACTAGTAACAAAGTGCTTAAAGATGCACTTTAAAAAGACTGCTTGAAGTTTCTTCTTTGCTATGTTGTCTATTTTTGTACATACGATACAGGTTCATCCCTTGAGTTGGGTACCTCTTTATGCTTGAAAAATATATATTTGAGAGTTAAGCATCTTAACAAAAAGAAAAAAAATCCTCTGAAAATGGTCAGGTACAAGGACTGGACTGAAAATGAGTGAAAAAGCAACAAACATTCCAAAACTTTGAAAGACCTTCAGAAAGCCTGGAGAACTGTTGTTCAAGACCACATTACAAATGTCAATAAAGTCTGGTTCACTGGACGAAATGAGGGGTGGCTCAAGACTTTTGCACATTACTGTATATGTTTTGTGTTCAATATCCACAGGCCAGAGCCGGTGCAAAGAAGTTTCGGAAAGTAACACTGACAGTCTCACCGAAAGGCATCGTTATCACAGACACAGAAACCACAGACCTCATAGAGAATGTCTCCATTTACAGGTACGGCCATCGCATTTCTATCCTGAACCTGTTAGTCCACAACAGTGATTGATTACTAAGATTTTTTTTAATACTCATGTTTCCCAGAGAACTTCCCTTACCCCATTTTCCTGTACTTCAATTTTTTGCCCTTTTCTTAAAAAAAAAAAAAAAAAAAAAAATCCCAAAAACTGAACAATCAGCATGGTTCATAAAAGTTGACATTCATTATCAGAAACAGTTCCTCTCAGGCTCTACTGTACTGCTACAATGTACTCTCTGTCTATCTGTGCTCTAGATATAAACTGATTAAAGTGGAAAACATTATAGTGGACTACAACCTTGCAGAGGTACCAGCATTGGTTCAAACTTCCCAAGCAGCGTGTGCATGTAATATACTAGTTTGCTATCAGAGTTAGCAGATACACCTGCAGGGATTTGGAACTGAATGAGACAAACACTCCAGCAGAGAACTCATTTGTACCAAACTCAATTTAAATTCAAATTCACTTAAATTATTATTTTTTAATTCATTTTACAAGAGGTCATTGGTTTGTCCCCTCTTTTCTATAATAATTTGCTGCTATTTTATTTCTCCTTTATTTTATTCTTTGTTCAGCCATTCTTTGATATAATGCTCTTAATATAAGTCTTGTTGCTGTTGTTGTTATGATATGGCTTCATTTTTTGACCTTCTATGTAGGTCATTTTCCCTTCTGTCCATTGCCGTGCTTCTTTTGCAGCATTAAACTAAGCAGTTTTCTGCTCAGAGCTGTGGTGAGTGGGTCAATTAGGGGTACATCACAAGATGATTATCTGTTGTATCACATCAATTTTGGACTAAATGTTGAACAATAGGGTAATGAAATATCTTCTTTTGCCTGGCACCAAAGGGTAAAGGAAACCAATTACAACAAAAACATAACAGAAAGTGGGTAAATCAGCCCATAGTGTGTGTGTGTGTGTGTGTGTGTGTGTGTGTGTGTGTGTGTGTGTGTGTGTGTGTGTGTGTGTGTGTGTGTGTGTGTGTGTGTGTGTGTGTGGATATGATATGTTTGGCTGGCTTCTCTCTGGGTAGCATTCTATAATACAGCCTTGGCCTCTTGTTGTTGGGGATTACAGTCTAAATATCATATGGCTGGACTGTGATTACAGAACAAGCTTTGATAAAAGACGCATGTGTTTGAAGGTGAATCGATGTGTGTGCAGGTGTAGCTCTGGATCCCCTCTTGATCTACCTTATCAGCAGTAACAGACCACAGGCTAGTGAAACCTGCCTCGTCTTTGATCTCCTTCTTTTCTCTCCTCTTTTCCTTTATACTGTCTAAGGAAAAAAAAGCTCCTATTTATGCTCATTATCTTAAACTGAGCTTTGAACACAGGACAACAGAGTTCTTAGACTGAAACTCGAGCTTCGATTGTTTGCCGAGATATGATACAGGACTCAGTGAAGGACCACATGCCGTGCTCGGGTTGACTGAAGATTTTATGGAACCCCACCCCCACCTCCACTTCCTTGTAGCCACCCCACCCCCTCGTATCTTTTTTTTTTTTTTTTGCTGCACATAATCCATTTGTTGGCCAAGAAAGCAAGCAGAGTGTGAAAGAATTCAAATCAAGCAAATCAAGACTGTGTTTAGAGTGCGTAGCATCCACAGGGGGAGTTAGATACACAAGTTATGTGCACATATGTCCACGCATTGTGACTTTGTGGATGTAACTTGCACAGTGAGTGTGTATGTAAATTTGTGTGTTTGTAGAATTAATTTTGGATTCACACTGGGTTAAAGCCAGTCTGTTTCCCCTCAGGGGAAGCTTAGTGGGGGTTAGAAAACAGACAGGAGGGCATTGTGCATGGCATAGAAAATAGGATCCCAGCACCCATAACCCTCCCACTGCACCCATCCACACCCAAAACAATGCAATACTAACCTGTATGGGTGGAATTTCACTTTTTACAGTTTCAAAATATCCAATAGCTTTTAACACCCCCCCTCTGTTACCATTTGTGCCAGAGACAGAATTAAAAGGGTTTCTGAAATGAGAGAAGACAAGCTTTATGGGGATATTCGGCATGTCATGGTAGCACAAAGCTTTCACAAGGTCCTCTGTCTGAACACAGAAAATTAATCTCAGTGCGCTTCACATTATCATAACTGCTGAAATGTTTTCGCTATAGAGAAAATTTAAGTGGTTCCTGAAAGATGATAATTATTTTGCAATTTTAAAGCCAAAATTAAAAAATAAGTCCAGGTAGCCTGTATACTTTGATGTTAAAGGGTTAAAGCTTATTGTCACAAGCTTGATGTTCCCGGATTTGCAGAGCTGCTGTTGTCTAACTGCAAACAGCAGTGAAGGATTACACCACACAGGAGGTGAATAGATGATTTTCTACCTCAGGCATAACCCTGGATTGTAATGATAATACCTGTCAGTAGTTTACAGATCAGTGATGGAGCTTATATATAAGGAAGGAAGTGGAAAACATCCATTGATATGATAATGAAGCAGAGTTCCTATTAGGGAGAAGTCAAATTTTCTGCTTCTAACAAAACACAATTTTCAAAAGTGCACATTAGGTGGGGTCCAAAGATTCACCAGATCCAGTTAATCCAAATTAAATGTCAGAACCTATTTGGTTTGACAGCTTTCTATCAAGAAGAGCCAGGTTAGCTGTTTACCTCCAGTCTTTATGCTAGGCTAAAGTTACAGCTTCTTGTTCTTAGATCAGTCTCTAACAAAGGATTCCTATAGATGTTTGAACCATAATCAGTGATGAAGAAATCTTCCTGTGTTTAGTTCAAAATATAAGTAATCTGTGTGTTTTCTGTTACTGGGTCATGCACAGATTTGCAGATCTGCAGGTGTAGGAGAAGATGTGGGAGTTTGATTAATGCAGCCACTTACTGGATCAGTAGACAAGTGGCTGGTTTGTTTTTGAGTACTGACACTCTGGAGAGGCCTTTATGTGCGCCGGTGTAGAAAAATCCAGATATTCAACGCCAATACAGTAATCGATGTTTGTCATCCTTTTAAAAACATGCTTTGTTTAAAACATGCAGACAGAAGATGCTCCCAGCAGAGAACATTGTGAGGGTGTTCAGACTCCATCTGGGCTAGCGTTGCTGATTCATATTCTGACAAGAGCTCTCAGGGAACAGCCAGCATATCAATTAGCAGAGCATACGGGTCAGAAAAGCAGAGCTGAAATGCAGACTGACAACGCACCTTGTAATGATACACGTGGTTCTGACATGTGTCTGTACGATCTCTAAGCTGAGGATATTGGGTGTAACAGTGATCCTAAACATTCATGGAAACATGGCTTCTTTCATCATTTTATTTAAAGATGGAAAAACCCACTGCTTTTTCTTTCTTTTTTATAGTATTGCTAAGTTGAAAATTGAACAGAAGTTATCACTGTCAAATTAAGCAGCAGACCTGTTTCATTCAGCGTATGAAAGGTTTGAGGCTTTGATGTGTGAAGATCTATTCAGGCTTTGTACTGTAAATATTTAAATAATATCCAATGACGTTCTCTCGCTGCCTCACAAATACCGGTGCGGTACACAGTAAGAAGATCAAAGGCTTGCAGTCCAGACAGCCCCTTTGGAGATATGATGGCGACTGACAGCTCAGCTTCTGTTGTTCAAGCTTAGCGGGAACTATGCGATACTGTCAGGTTGTTTTTTTTTCCTGTTGTTCTTTAAACCTGAAGGCCTGTATTGAAAATAAGATCCACTGCGCCGCACGTCTGACACTTATTATCCTGTAATGACTAAAAAGTTTTCTTAAGAGTTTTTATAAATAGAAGAAACGTGTCTTTGGCACATGGATTAAATCTTACATGTACATTCACTGGACAGAGGCCTCTTTGTTGATGAATACATGTAACTATATGTATAAGTCTGACTTTTATGCTGTTGACAGTAGAAGTCAATGTGGCATGTGCTTCTTAATATGATTATTGTGATATTGGGATTTTGGACAGTCCAGTGCAAAATAATAATATTAGTAATGTGAATCATAACTGATGCACAAACAGCTTTGGGGTCACTGACTTGCAAGACATGCACTGCGTGTGCACTGACCTATTTTAATATTTCGCTTACAGCACATTGTTCTGGGAAAGCTAAAGACTTACTGTGAAAAAGTTTTATTTTTTTTCATAATAAGGCTAAAAAAGGTTTTAAAAATATGTCAAGAACAGCTAAAGCTTAGATACTGCCATTAAATAAAAATAAAATGTCAAATGCTGCAGTTACTGATTTAAATTCTATTCATAGAACTTTTTCTGAGGTTAGCAGATCAGTCCTTAAAAAGCAAAAGAAAGAAACGAGAAAAATGCAAAAAACACAACACGCCTGATGTAATTTTTAGCTGCTATCGCCTTCAGGGTCTGCTTCCTTTAAGCCCCAGTTATTTTTAGATCACCCCTTCTGATCAGTTGCATGTGCGCTGGATGTCCGCCACTAGATCAAAATAATGATTCTTCAAAATAAATCTCATTTTGCGCGAGCCAAATCTGGCAAGTAGGGCAGTAGCTTAGTAGGGATTGTGTTGGTGTGGCCAAACAACTGTTTTTGAGCGTGGTGTGAATAGTTGCAACATGATGAAAGCATGGTACGAGACAATTTTTGGGTCACTGACAGGCTTAACTTGCATAATCCAAAATAAAGATTGCTATGCTCTTGGTTGTGCTCCGTTTGTTACCTTTAGACACAGGTCAGGATAATTTCTCATCAGTAGTGTTTTCTGTACTTGCAAGTCGATTGCGAAATAGCAGATGCAGTGTAGTGGTAAGAATGGAAATCTATGTTTGCTAGAAGCGATCCAGATGTGCACAAGGAGATGCCTTGAAGGGAGCATATTATTTAGTAAATAAAATTCTGAGAACACAAAGAATTATGAAGGCATGTGGATGCTTAAATATTTAAAATAAGTGAAATTCATCTTGTGGAAAATATATGAAGTTAATTAAAAGCACATACTATCTCAATAGGATGATAATTGAGTTGTATTGAGTAGTACTTGAGTTTCGTCATTCTTGTTTTCTAATTTTAAATAGGTCAACCCTTTCAACTTTTCCCTGCTCATTTTTATGCAATTACGGCCCCAAATATAAGTTCGCGCTTCGGGAGAGGGGGTAATACGCAAAGCTGGGTATCCTGGGCATTGCTATGTGGGTCATGCATCAGTGGTGCAAGCCAGCAAACAATCTGAGATGGAGTAGTGAGCGCTGTTGATTTCATGGTTGTTGTTTGATCTAATACATAACTTCATTTTTAGCACCACTACCCACCCAACCCCCACCTCTGAATTGGGGTAGCAAATGAGTTTCAGCCATCCACAAATCCCCTTTGCACGTAGTTTACAATTTGCTCTAATGATGGCAGATTATACAGCCATCAACCCAGAGCTTTCTCTTTTCTCCAGTGATGATGATGACAGCATGAATATAAAAAATAGCAACATAGCTCGTGTCGAAGAGTTCTGCTATCGGCTCTATGGAAGGAGCCCCTAATTGTCCTTGTTGTGCTGTTTTTAATTATAGTGAAAAAGGTCAAGTGCAACGTTTACCGTGGCTAATTTGCATATCTATTTAAGGCAACAAACAAATGACGCATGCTGCCGATTCAGGTAACCATCGCATATACACAGAGTGACTGAAGATCAATACAGCTTCTAATAGCCTGTGTAAAATCTGACAAAGGAAATTCACTGCTTTTGTTGCCTCAGTGAGCCCCAAACAAGCTGCTGTGGGAGAACAAAATGGCTTGGTGGACTTTGTCTGGATTGGGTTTTAGATAACTATTGAAAATCACAGGGCCGAGGCTGTGGCTGGATTTGCAGACAATTGGATTTCTTGAAAACCAGATAGTGGATTCAGTGTGACTGCTGGGAATGAGGTTTCAAATGCAATACAATCACAGTGGAGATCAATTTGTAATCTTAGACTTTCTATTTTCCACTGATGGTAGAAATTTAAATGTTTCAGAGGGAAAAAAAAAAAAATACCCACATGATGGGGACATTTTTCTGCGGTTGAAAAGAATTCGCAATATATTATGTAACTGTCAGGGAGGTTATTTCAGAAAATCTTCAGCAGATTTACTGCAGTTTCAAATGCCTTCCTGCAGTGGTTGATGCTCTCAGATAAAAAATGAGGAACAGCAAACAGTTGATCTGAATATAATATTTTTTTAAAAAGTCCTTTACCTTTGAATAATTCTATCATTTTCATCACAAAGGTGTAAATAATGCTCCTTTGCTGAAAATTCAGGGTTAATCGACAAGCTCAGTCTTTAAAGGTAACATTTTATCAACACTCGAGTTCGGCATGAAACACTTTCTCTCCATCCAAACTCTGAAGTTCCTACAGCTTCAAGCACAACTCACTTATGGATGTCACTGCTGCTCATTTGTCTTTGCCCAGCTGTGGGACTCAATCAGCATATTATTCATATCCATTGCTCTGGTGCTGTGACTGGTGTGCTCATGCATATGCAAAAAGTAAACCGCAAAGTTACAGCCTTAATTGACATGTAGGCAGTGCAGCTTACCTTGATCTACGAGGTTTCATTCACAGTGCGGACTAGTAGGTAATGTTGTGTACTTTGTGTCGCATGTGTGACACTAAAGCCTTCCTATTTGTACTTTTTCGTGTATCATTCATTATAAATGGATGTACACTCATGGCAAAATTCAAACTCTTAAGGTTTTACATATCGGAACATAATTAAAAAACATTATATGGTCCGCACTGGGTCTGAAAATTAACTAAATACAACCTTAGATGAACAGAAACACATGAGATATTACACCCTTACCGCTTCCATAGGAGTTAAGACTGTAAGTAGCAGCTGCGTGCTGCTAATCCACTGTTAACTGGTTATCAGTAAATGTTAGCATCTCCCATGAAATCAGAAATTTTGGTAGTTCTATGGTTTAGAACATTCAGCTATGTGTTAATACAATGCCAAGGAGGGAAGACTGCAGCAATGAATGAACGGTTGGTGATCATCAATCTGGGAAGTGTTTTAAGGCCAATTATAAAAACAGGCCATCATTCTGCAGCGAGAAGGAATATTCCCAAGTGGAAAACATTCAAGAAAGCTGCATTGGAAAAAAACAGAAGACTTCTGGATAGACGAGATGTTTGCACAGCACTATGTTTGGTGAAAACCAAACAGAGCATATCAGCACAAACATGTTACACCAACTGTCAAACACAGTGGTGGAGGGGTGATGATTTGGTCTTTGGGCACCTTTTAGTTATTACTGATCATGAAGTCCTCTGCATACCAATGTCAAATGTGTCAATAATAAGTCAAATGTGAGGCAATCTGTCTAATGGCTAAAACGTGGCTTACATATGGCCATACAACAGGATGATGATTCAAAGCAAAGGGACAAATTTATAACAGAAATGGCTAAAAAAAACAAAAAAAAACCAAATCAAGTCATTGCAGTAGCCCAATTAAAGTCCAGACCGCAACCTCATTGGAATGCTTTGGCAAGTCCTTAGGTTTGCTGTGTATAAACAAAACCTAATGAACTGAGAAAACATTGTAAAGGATGGTCAAAATTCTTCCACAGCAATGTGAGAGACAGAAAATTATTGCTTTAAGTTATCGTTATCAAATGTGGTTCTACTAAACTACTAAATCACCTTCGTTTTTCCTGCGTTCCTTCTGCATTTTGCTCCATTTTTGTCAAATAAAAATAACATGGTGTTTTATGTCATGTGTTGTTAATGATCTTAGTTTTATTCACCTATTTTTAAAACCTGGTAAGGACTAGATATTGCTTTATTTATGTGCTTGGCTGAAATATGTAGAGCCGTTGTAACTGACTGTATATCATGTGAATTGATGGAACTGCTACACTGCAATAAAATTCTGTTCTCTCTCATATTTCTCTCTTTCCTTTAAAACAGAATCTCGTACTGCACAGCAGATAAAACTCAGGATAAGGTCTTTGCATATGTTTCACAGAGTCAGTTCAACGAGACTCTAGAGTGCCATGCCTTTCTCTGCCAAAAGAAGAAAATTGTAAGTCTGCAGTGCCGTGGGTTTCTTGTATATACCTGGATTTAGACTGATGTGTTGGATATATGTTGTCAGACTTTAGGAGGATGCTCAGTTTGTTTCAGGACCAATAATTGTGAACTCTAAGTGCAACATAACAATGGGTGGCGTGTGGCTCCATCTTGTGGCTGTTTCCTTAGTGATACTTGAGATTTACTTCTGTGGTTAGTATTAAAAAAAATACTGCTTTCTGACAAATCTTTCACAATAGATACACTCTTATCCAAAGAAAAAGTTAAAATATCTTCTTTATCACAAAATCAAATACCCATTATTAAAAATAATTTAATTTCATCTAGTTTCTCTGTGTTATTCTCTTTCCAGGCTCAGGCTGTAACATTAACAGTAGCCCAGGCCTTTAAAGTGGCCTTAGATCTTTGGGAGATTGCTCAGGAAGGTAAGTTCCCTGAACAAAGAGGAAATGACTCTGGAACTTACGTTTATACTCAGCATTTTGTGGACATTAAATTGTCTGTGCATAAATGAAAGATTCAAGTATAGTTGGAGTCTGTTATTTTCTAAGAGTTTGAAACAGCTTCTTGGTTCACAGACAAAAGCAAGAAGGCCAGGACCTGCTGTACGTGCGCAGCAAGCAATGGGCAGACGGAGGCAGCGGACGCTCAGTGTGTCCCAGCAGGTAACTTCATTTTATTGTGTCCTCATCCATATTGTGTCCCCGCATATCGAACAAGAAATAACTATATTAGTGAAAGGTAAAAGACAGCAGAATGTTAAATACTGTGTTAACTGTGAAGTTGTTTTAATGTGATTTAACAAATTATCTAGTTCTCAATATTAGAAATAGCAACAAATCCAAATTAAATTCATTTTCTTTGCTTTTTAACAAGTCTGACACATCACCATAAAACCGGGGGGGGGATTATAAAAATTCTGTTGAATTCATAATCAATATTGTGCCAAGGTGTGTTATATTAATTATATTACAACATAAAGACCCTACAGTATTAAAAAGAAACCCCAACAACCAGACAACCCCCGACGAGCAGGCACTTGGTGACAGTGGGAAGGAAAAACCCCATTTTAACAGGAAGAAACCTCTGATAGAATCAGGCTAAGAGAGGGGCAGCCATCTGCCATGAGTAGTTGGGGGTGAGGGGAGAAGAGAGCAGATAGAACCCGGGTTTAATAGTTGCTAATGATTAAATAGTAGTGATGTATAAACACACAGAGAGTTAAGAGAGGTGAGTGAAGAAGAAACACTCAGTGGATCATGGGATAGCCTGCAAGCCTGTTGCAGTATAACAATGAGATGCTTCAGGGTAATCTGATCCAGCCCTAACTCCAAAATTGATCAGGATTCGACTTTTTCTTTCTACTGTTGAAAACTTTTGAAACACTTACTACAGTCTGAGAGAGAAGTTCTGTGCTAGGATAATGAGGTACTATGAAGTCTTTAAGATATGACAGAGGCTGATTACACAATCTGCTTTCCAAAATAAGGTCATGACTTGAAAATCTTTATTATTGCTCTAATTTTATTGAAAATGGTACAAATACAACTTTTTAAATGTTGAAAAAATGTGATTTTTAACGAATTTGAGGCAGGCAACATGTTTCAGAAGATAAAAGCGTTTTTAGGGATGTGCAGCATTACGTTTTCTTTTTTAAACCACTCTGTGTTTGGGTGCAGACGACACATTAAAACAGCTGAAAGTTTTGATCTACGCTGCTCAAGCTGTTTGGGGCCTTCATGTCAGAAAATTAGAATTCATCATGCGTCACGGCTGACAGTTTCCTGCAGTTTCCACTTTTTACGCTCTGCTAACTTGCAGCTGTCTTTTTGAGTCGCACAATATTTACTGTCGAGACGAGAAAGTGGCGTCAATCTTCTCATCTATCTCTCAGCAAGAATGCCAAAGAGTGTCTTTTCTCTTAAACCCTTTTTTCAGGTTTGTTGCTTCTGTAATCAATTCTCAAGATCCGCGTTTGAAATCAGTCTGCACACGGGGATCTGATTAATGCTGGGAAAATAATATGCTGTGTTATTGAAGTGAAGCAATAATAAGATGCTGATTTGTTTCATCTGCACAAACCTATCCGTTTCAACTCATCGTGACTAAGTGGAAGTCACTGCAAGTCAGTCCTATGATGATCTTAAATGACCTTTTCAGTTATACTAAGTCTATCACAATTTTGGCTTTTAAGTTTTTGATTGACACTGCTCTCTCACAAATGTATCAGTCATCTGTCACTTGTCATACACGCTCAGGGCAAATCACCCTTCAGGGAAACAGTGAATTTTAAGCGCCTTCTAATGACTGTGACATTTATAGATTATTCTTTATAGGTCAAAATGTTTTCCTGACCTCAGAGGGTCAGCAGACTTACAAAATGAGACTTAATCATCCATTGTTAGTCGCGGCCTGGTTTTCCCAGATTCTTTCAATTAAAATTTGCTCTGCTCCCAGTGGTAGTGGCCTGAGGACATAGAGAAAGTCTGGTGTGAAAGCCTCAAGGACCTTTGGAATAACTACACGGACAGATGCATTAAAGTTTTACAGAGATGATTTAAATTGTGCCTGTCATGAAGAAGTTTTTGAGTGCCACGGGCTGGAAATGTTGTTTCACCTCTTTGAAATCTGACAGCTCTTCCTTTCCTTTACGTCCGGATGTGTCTGTCCTTTACCTCTCATCTGCCTGTCTCTACTCTGCCCTCTATGTTTCCTTCTTCCTGCTCTTTTGCTTTATTGTTTGGCAGCCTCTCATAAGCACCTGCCATCTCTCATAGATCCAGAGACACATAAGCCCAGTGGGATGGAGGAAAAGCTCCGGAGGCCCTTATTCTCTGCTTCGCTCAGCTCGCCCTCACCTCGTAGTAACCCTACTCGAAGGCGACCAATCAAACATGACTCTTGGGTAGGTCAGCTTTAAAGCGTTACATCATTGCTAGCTTGCGTGCTCTTGCTACCTGTCAAATACAGAATTAATGTCTGCTCCTTTTGCCTATAAATCCATGCCTGCTTCAGCATTTGGGTACTGCACATTTCAGAAGTTCTCCACTCCTAATATATCACTATGTCTGTTAAATCCTCAAACCAGCTGCTTTTAAATACTGGGGTTAGTGGTTAGTGACATTGCGCTTTTGTGGTTGCTGCTCCAAGGCTTTGCAATAGCCTTCCTTTCACAATCAAATAATCCCACTGTTAAATGTTCATACATAATATTTGTTTTTAGTTTTTTAAACCATGTTTATTTCATGTAAAATGTATCATTTCAACTTAGTTTGATGTTGTCTTTCTATTAAATGTGCTTTAAACTTTTAAACCGAATAAGTGGACTAGAATGATGAATATGGTCATATATCCATGGACCTCTTCTTTACATGAGCCAAATTTAAATGGAAAAAATTGAAACTTTAAATTTCAGTGGAAAAAAAGATTAAAATGTAAAAGTGGGAAGGAATAGTATAGCATGATTATTGGTCATATCCTGCCATTTATCCTCTATAAAACGTAATAAATATGTGCAAAGTATAAAATAATGGGAGCTAATTTTATACATTTATTGCACATCTGTATATAATCTGGTGTTCAGTTGCAGATTTTCAACACTAGGTGACACCATACCCATACGAATGTCTCCCATATACACTGATCTCATACACGGAAATCCCGATGATGCACATTTTTCCCTGATGTGCCTTTCCTCTCAGTGAGAAATGATCCTGTGGCTGAACGAGACCTGGTTCAAGCTGGTTCAAGTTCATTTTATTGCTGCAGTTGTGCAGTTTATCATCTGTCCGTGCTTATTAAGTGGGGTATTTTTCCAGGGTACTTTCTCATATTGTACTAAATATCTATTACTGTGACTGTTAATTGAGTTGCATCTGTGACTGGATTAAGAGAATCTATTTTCACAGATTGATTCCTCAGTAGCAGTTCATTTATGTGAATAAGCAAACAGGCAAGCACCTGGCTCAGTGCAGATGCACAAATGCTTGAAAGTACAGAAGGAGCAGGATTATAACTTGAAGCACTTTGAACGTGGACTGAGTCCTATTGTTGTGTCTCAACAGGATGTGGAAGATGGACTTGAGGATGCATTCTCAAGGTGAGCTTTGTTCGTGACTGTAATTCTGCAGAGCGCTAATGAGAATAAAATCTGATTTTCTTGTTTTATGCACACTAATATTTAAATACTACCATAAGAAACAAATGTATTCAACACATTGTGACAATGAATATTGCCTTTTGATTACAGTTGAATAGCTCCTGAGTTACACTGAGGGCCTTTGAGTCTTTGGATGAAATATCTTTTCTTTTGAAAACAGATATTGAAAGTCACATAGAAACTGAAATAAGCAGGCGAATGTGATAAACGTGATTTTCCAAGGTACCTTGGTCTAAAAGATGGCATTGAAACTGGTGAAATAACTTGATATTCAAAGCAGCTGTCTTAAGATATTTTCACAGTGGCATGCAAAGGTTTGGGTGGGCATAATCAAAATTTCTTACTGTGAATAGTTGAGTGGGATTATCTGATCTCCAAAGAGTTGTGTGAAAAATTCAAAGCTTTAGAAATGATCTGACTCATGCAAAAGACCTTCTGCAAGTTACAAGTTACACACTCTGGAGTTATGCTGCGCTGTTTCACTTTGTAGTGAATCCTCCACTAATATGACCGTTGTGTGAGAGGCACCTTTCCACCAAATTTAGTGTCAGAATTCTGCAAATTTGTCTTTTATTTTATTCAACCTTATTTTTACAGGTAATCCCACTGAGACTTAGTGTCTTATTTACAAGATAAACGTGTTTCAATTTAAAAAAAAAAAGAAAAAGAAAAAAGAAAATAGTGCTACTACTGTATAGTAATAATATAGTAATTATCATTTAACTGTTCTTTTAACTCTGTGAACTTGAGGAGACCAGATTCTGTTGTCTTGAAAAGAAAATATGTTCCCTTTCTTGCTTCTTGTAGAATCTCAGCTTCTCCGAGGCTGTTCAGATACTCTTTTGCCTTATTTTTCATTTCATAATTTATGAAATGTTTTAAAGGGGTGATAGCTCTGGACTCCAGGCTGCACACCCTGGTTCTCTTCCTGTTGAGCCGCTCTTTTGAAGTACATGCAGAATGGTGTTATCAGCATTTTTGATGAAATATTCCAGGCTTTTCCTGAAAAATGTATACACCACAGCATGTGTTGCTCCAAAAACATTTATATGCTGTTACTGCTGTACACACCAATGCATTAAAAAAACTTTCCAGTCTTTCATCACCCCTCACCCAGCTTCTGTGAAATGTGTTGTTTTCACATTAAAAGGAGGAATTTATTTCCTTATTTATTTGTGTGTTTATTTTTAATGACATGTGGCGTTTTGTTTTGAAAATCTGTATTATTATTTAGCTCTATACGCAATGGCCAACCTTTTTTGAAAAGGTGAATTTGACTGAATTTTTATTCATAGGTTTCCATAAATATACATTATTTGTTTTATAGGGCATCACTGTACAACATGCACCCTTAAAGCTGTAAGCTTGTTCTAAACATAAAGCATAATTGACTCATAGAGATCATGTGGAACAAGCAACCTCCTTTGATTGCTACAAGATCACCACTTTCCCAGACAGAGGTTTCAGGAGCACACCAGCTCAAACCAGTGCGGGAGCTCCACAATGCATCAACACCTTGTCACTGAACTAGGATTACGATACAGCGCTTATACCACGATGTGTGACAGCTTGTAAAATTGACTTTTTATAGGTGTAGGATACCTGCAGAGACAGGAATGTGAGTCTCAGGTGAAATGAGACATGAGGGATATGAAAAAGTCACACGTCAAAGGAATACCCCCAATTCTGCCTGATTGTTACAAATCCTTGCATGCAGATACACAATTTTTAAATTGGGGATCTTTTAAATTAAATATATAAACATAGTATATTTCACCTGTTACTACTTAATGCACTTGATCACTCTGAAAACTCGCAGCTCACAAAATGTATGATTGTCTGCATGACTCTTAACTTCGTTGTGTAGCCAGCTTTCAGTCTCTGAGACTGTGTATACATCCTACAGCTCTGTAAAATCTGTCTACAAAGACAGAGAAGAGCTACAGAAAGATGGTGCTGCACACATTAAAGACATTGCACTCGTTAAGCTGTGCTGCCTGTGGCTAACGGAAGTTTTGGGGAAAGCAAATGAGTAAATTCGACGAAGGGATTTTCTGCATGTGTGTTTCTGTGGAAGTTGCTTTTACATGCGTGGAGAGCAGAAAAGGAAAGCAGGTCATCACTCAGGCACTTCTCAGCAGGGATGGGGACAGTTGTCAAATAGTGGGTAGGTGAAACTCTAGATAAACGTCTACTAAATCTGACGTCCTGGGAGTCGCACTAAAGGAGTTTGAAGTGTTTAGAGTGAACGTGCTCTGCAGGGGTCAGCAAGGATGTCAAGCGCTGCAGTTGTGGTACAGCACTGGTGAATGAGACGCGGCCTGAAACTCTGAAGAATCTGGGTGACATTGAGTTTTCATGGCTGTCACACCTATTTAATGTTGTATGTGACTTCGGGAATGCCTTTAGATACAACAGAGGAGGGTTTTATTTGTGGCTCTTCATATGTTCAAGGAGAACTCTGTTTTAAAATGTCTCTGCTGTTTATCTACTCTCTAGCCCTTTGGTTCCCAAAATGTAAGTATGTTTAACTGCCAAAGATTTACTGTTAAATAGAAAAAGCTCTTTTGTGAACTGAGTGGTTTCTGTTATATTTCAGGCCTGCTTATACAACAGAATGACTGGGTTTGCCTCAAATGTTAGTGAAGGTAGTCTCTGCCTTTACAGCTACCCTTTAAAAAACCCAGAAACTATTCTAGTGGTCTTAAACCATGTCTTTATATATTATGAGGTGTCAAAACTCGTCATTAAGGGTACTGGGGAAGCAGTCAGGGTCGTCTTTAAGGGGCAAAGAATTTTGCTAGTACCCATTAAAAATGTTTTTGGTGAAGTATTTTACTCTTGCTTTACTCTTGCTCTAACTTTGTATAGCTCATAACATTAGGTGTTTGTATAGGAATTGTCTGTTTGGTTTGGGGTTGGGTGGTTGTCTGAATCTCTTGCACACACTGCAGTAAGTTTCCATCACCAGTGCCTCTTCAGCTTCCTGGTATATCTACGAGTGCGCTTGTTTAAATATAGCATCGGGGTCACGTTATTGGTCTGCGGTTTGGCGATTCAGTTTAAATCTCTTTAATCCACTTTGGTGTAAGCAGCAGCATGACCTCTAGGGGTCACTGGTAGCACTTTGTAGTTTTGCGAGTTGAGCTGCAGCTGATACCGTTAAACCAACTTCAGTAGAATAATTTTAATTAACACTTAGCTGCACAGGTCAGGATTTAGACCTCATTAAAAAATCTATTTTTAGCAGAGCCAAAAGTTCTCACAACTATTGACTTCAGCTTCAGTTCAAACTGGTTTAATTAAAATGATTCATTTATGGTATTTAAAATTTCATAAATGAACGGCGACCCTGTGTAACAGCCGATTTAGCACTGAAGTACTTCTCCCCATTGAAATCTGAAGTGTTCTTTTTAGTTTAGTTTAGGCTTCTTTGTGTGTCACTTTGCTAACCGCATGGTGAAAGTGGGGCAGCTCACTTCACAATGTGTGCATGTACACTCCTGATGCCCTTTACCGGAACAGTTCCTATCACCTTTTCTTCACTTATCCTAACCTTTAGCACTGATTCACTTTGTCTTGATTTCTTCTGTCTTGAATCTGGCACGCAGCAACATGGAAACAGAGGAGACAGACACTGGTAAGTGATGTGATAAATGTATTGTTTTAGGACAGTACATGCTTGCTCTGCCTCCTTATTTCAGGCCTAATGTGAAAAATCCTAACTATTATTATCCCAGTCCAATCTGCTCTCTGCAAGGGGAAAGCACTGGCCTCTGGACGTATGTGACTCCACTAATAAGAAGATGATATTACGCTCAGAGCCACATTAAAGTTTTTGTTTGTTTGTTTGTTTTTACCTGAAAAGATTATTTTGATTTCAATTAGGATTAAACTATTACTTAAAATCTGTTTTTCAATATTAATTTTAATATTACATTTCCTTGGTTAGTGGTCCAGCCCAATGTAAATCTTAACATCTTCATCTCAACCTCCTGTCTTTTTGTTGGTGCCACCATTACCAAACCATACCTCAACAGGTTTCACTTTGTAAACCGTCCCTTTCACTCTTGCTGCTATCCTTCGGTCACCTGTCTCCTCTCATTCACACACGTATTCCATCTTGCTTTTACTGGCTTTCATTCCTCTTCTCTCCAGTGCACACCCCCACCTCTCCAGACTCTTCTTACTCTGCTTCTTACTCTCACTGCAGATCACAGTGTCATCTGCAAACGTCATAGCCCACGGAGACTCCTGCCTGACCTCGTCTGTCATCCTGTCCATCACCAGTGCAAAAAAAGTGACTGAGTGAATGATATAATTTTAATCATTAAGTTGCACATCAAAGCCATTGGCGTGCTGAAAAATGTTTATTGTTAAAATATAATATACCAAATAAATGAGGGTAGCGCTTCTGTTCAATTTTGGAGTTGGCTTTTGTTTTCAGTGTTGCCAGTGTTTTTTCCGAACAACATCAAAAACACTGAATTTTCTTGTTGTCTGCCACTCACGACCTCACACGCTGCACTTTATCCACTAGCACTCCCTTTTCCCATTTGTTCTTTGTCATTTTGAGTCAAATCAACATCCTCTGGCGTTGTGTGTTTGTGTCTGTGACCTTGCTACATTATATGCTTCCTTCTTCTGTCAGTTTTTTAAACCTTTGTATAGACTGTAAACCCCTTTGTCTTCTGAAAAAAATGTTCTAGCAATGCTCTGCTTTTCTCTGTCTCTGTCAGACTGGCCGAGTCCCGCTCCGAACCCATCTCTGACAATGCAGCTTTGAGTCTCCCGGAGGTCTCCACTGAGAATCTGTTGCCTGTCTGCAACAATGAGTTTAAATAACATACCGGCAATAGCTGCCCGACGTACAGCACCACAGAAATTAGACAAAAAGCATACGCTCCAGTACCCAGGCTGACAAAAACAGCATGCTTTACTCAATCAGAAAGAAAAAAACATATCACCCTCCCCGGTGCACAAACTGAATGAGAAAGCCTGTATTTGATATTCAGTCACTGCTGCAGAGAAGCCAGAGTGAATACCCTGATATCATGAAATGTTATTTCTATGAATGCCTGCCTGTCAAAACCCACTTCTCTCAGTGTAAACAGCCATCTCCTGCCATCTTAAAATTTGGTGCACACAGTGTGCAATACACCACAGCGAAGAGAGCAAGGACCACAAATTTATACACAATGCAAATCACACAGGATGAAGTTTGGAGTCTCCTCCTTTTAGTAATAATTTGTGAAACATTTCCACATGTGGATTCCACTTGTAAATTACAGTAAAGACTGCACAAACGTCACAGTCCAAAGATGCGTGCACTGTATATATGCCTGCTATCGCTTTCTGAAAATGTGAGCACTCTCTAATCTTGCTGTTTGTTTTGGTGCAGTAACAGCTGCCAGTCACAGCACTTGCTGGAGGAAGTCCAGTGTTAGGAGTCATCATCAGACACTGGAGTGAACACTCTGTCATGATGCTGAATGGGTTTTACACGAATCATCCAGTTTGTTGTATCGAACAAACCATTTCTTTTGGGGGATGAAGGCCCCATTAGACACAGAGATATATAAAAGTGTGTGTCAGGTTTTTTTTTCCCTGGCAACACAGTCAATAAGGAAATGTTTCTTTAAGAAGAATACTTGTAACATTTACAAAGTAAAGTGGAGTACTTAAATTTAATCTCCAGCTAACTGTATATGATCGTAGTTTTTTGGTCCCAAATTCTCACTGCTTGAGGGGTATTCACTTCATTCACTTATTGTGACCTTTCCCAGCAGATAGATGTGCCAGGTTGTCATGGGAATGGTTCAGTTTGTTATATATCGGGTCATTGTTTGCAGTGGGTGGGGGGGTTTGGAATCCATCATATTTATAATAGAGATAATGTATGAGAAGAGGGAATTTAACTACCAATTTATTCATCTGTCTTTTGTTACAGGACCCAGAAATTGTTAAATCCGAGTGCATCTTTCTGCTGGGAAACATAAGGCAGAAAGCTTCAGGAGTCCTTGAACTTTGGATGTTGGGAAAGTTACCAGATTGTTATTTTCAAGGTCAAGAAAGAACCTTTTATCTATGTTTTATTTTTCCTTATAGGTAAAGTATTTTGGTATCCCTTTTGCATTTAGTGTCATTATCAGGTTTAAAATTATGTATTCACTAAGTAACTAAAGCTTCAAGACCATTAGGGATGCACACAACAACCAGCTGTTTTTATGTTAAAACGGTTACTCTGGCAATTTACAACTGTAATAAATAGAAAAATGTATGCTAACAGTGATCAAAATTGAACTAACAGAGGGTAAGATGTTGTTGTGACTACTAATTCCAAAATCCTGCCTTCCGTTTTCTACAATGCAGCAGCTAAAGTCTGAACGTTCACCACACTACCAATTTGCACCCCAGGCTTTATGCCGAAGATCTGTAGTTGTGCAAAATAAGAAAAAAAAGATAAGCAAATTTTAATCATATGCAGCCTTTTATGGGTGAATGAGTGATCTGCCTATGGTTTGCACTGCATACATAAAAGTTTACATAGTTGTTTTTCTTTCTGTCTTAAATGCTAAATATGAATGCGAATTTACTCTCGAAAGTAACAGGCTGAGATTTCTGTAACGATCATCACGGTCCGACTGGAATACGGCGAGTTTAGCATCTCCTCATTCATTCAGCTGTCACTGTACATAAAGACAATGTTACTGTTAATGCTGTTAGGTTATGGAAACTGTGTTTCAAGCCCAAAATCAGACTAAAGAAACCTATTTCCATATGCTGTATTTTTTCAGTGTCAAAGTTGTACCTATTTACTGTATGTATACATATTGTATCATTATAAATGAAGTAGGATGATTAGAATCAGGGCTTTTCACAGGTGGGCTTTTTTTTATATCACTAATTGGGACGTGGATGTGTAGATGCTTGTGTGCTTTTGCGTTAGGTTAGACGATTGTACAGATTTAAATGACTGGGTTTTACTACTGCAGGAGTCGCTCATTTTTTTTTTACTTGTTATATTCAGTTACATAGTTCACACTGTCCTCTTTAAAGGATGCTTTTCCTTTTCTCTTAAACATCTCTTTTCATTAATGGAAATGATACATTCCAATTGTTTTCTTGTTTTTTTATTAGACTGTGCGGTTTATTTATATCCACCACTCAAATGCTGTTTGTTGTCAAGAGCATGTTATATTGTGCCACAGTCTGGTTGAAGTGGTCTTCTCTGTATTCACGGCATCACGACTGAAAATAATTGTGGCGGTGGTAGGTGGGAGGTAGCAGGGAGCTCCGTATTGTTGTCATGACACCCGCTGCAGAATAATTGGATGGCTTATCAGGTTACGACATGAGGCTTAATTACACTGTTTCATTCCTGACTGTCTGAAATACCAACTCTATTACAAATTTTAAAGCGAAACTATTTAGTATGGATAACAGAAATGCCCTGTGTCATGTCAAGGATGGTCTAGGAAGCGATGTGTTCACTTTAGTATTGACTGTGAATTTGGAGGTCAGCAGAGTGCGCTGCCAGTGCGATGCTGTAATGCACAAATGATCTGTACTCACCTTTTTCAGACCCGTCATTGATTGACTGATGGATTCCTGTGTGGATGTGTCTGCTGATTCAGTGCCGTTAGATATTTTAAGATTGGCTGCTGTCCAAGAGCTGCGAAATCTGTGAAATCGGCCGTTTAAAAAAAAAAAAACCCCAATAGTTTCAACCTGTGGAGCCGGATAATAATAATAATATTAAATTATGATAATGTATTACATTTACACCTCAGGTAATTTAGAAACAGACGTACTACTAAAACATACTATTAAAGATATTGGGAACATTTTTTTTATGGTTTTAAACCTTTATTTTACTTTATGCTGCAGCAGTTATAGCAAAAACAGGTTGCATAGTTTTTAAAAAAAAAAAATGGCACATTAACCATGATAATGTGCCATGATCTTTAATGTACCACTCTTAATATTTCTAAATGACATTGTAGTAATCATTAATGTAGTAGTGAGCTCAGTTTAAATACGAAATGTTGTCCTGGGCGTTGTAATAAGGACAGAGCACATCATGTACACTCATTCTCGAAACACTTTAAGTTTTATTTGCACTGTAATGTTGTTAAAGTGATAAGCTAGTGACTTTTGGCACGTAGGAAATAACAGCCGTTCAAAGCTCTGTTACTGCCTGCACAGCACAATTAATCCACGAGTGGCCAAAGACATGAGAGAAAGTGCATGGGCAGGTTTTGTTGTACAGTTTCTCTATGGTCATGGTGTTAAAGTCCCAAAAAACGTCCAGGTGAAATTGTGGTACTGTATAGGCTTAAAGCTAAATTATTATTTGTAAATTAATAAAACATAAAAAGTAATCTAATGTAAGAAGAAGAAAGTCCTGGATTAATAACATTATGACGCAGATAATTCCATCAGGCTCCTCTGAGTATTGTTTCATGTAGCTAGTATACTGGAAACAGCAAGCCATCAATGTGGCAGATTCCCAGCAAATCTTGACTGGATGCGGTTCTTTGGCACAGCTGAGACTTTTGTCTTTGGGAGTGAAGAGAGAGAAACTAGCACTTGGAGGTACAGCATGCCAAACTGAGTCTTATGTGCACTGAATACAAATCACCCTGTGAGGTTCTGAGCCCAGAAAGCATTTTAGGCTGTTAGGTTTTTAAAAAATGAGAAAGAGTTTCGACTGGGGAAGCCAAGTACTCTCAGAAAACCTACTGTACTTCTTAACCCCAAATAAACACTGACGTTTACAGTATGAATTTACTTTACCAAGGTGCTTATTTTCTATCTATGCAAATAGTGGGTTTCCAGCAGTGTTGTGATATTATGTTAATAGCAGTTTGTGTATGATTCACAAGCAGGTGTCCTAATCTGTGTAAAATTGTGTACAGAATTTTGAGGCTGTTATGGTTTGTTACATATTTATGCATAATAAAGGACTTTGTACAAACTCTGCATTTTGCTGAAATGTCATTTTAATTACAGGATTAAGAAACCAGTCCACAGAAGCCTGTGTTTTATTAAACTAGAAGCCTTCTGTCGTGCTGTTTAATTTCTACGATCCTGTTTGGACACTACCAGAATATCAAAATGATTCTGAACTTGAAGTCTTAAAAAATCTTCAGAAAAGAAGCTTTAAAATAGCTGTTCGGTTTGCAGACAAACAGCTCAAAATCAAACATTTCAGTTTGCTTTGTCTTTATTGATTTAGCTCTTTCTGCTAAACTGTCCACAGTATTTTATTCAATCTGTACTTTTCTCAAACATTTCCCAGTTTACTGGTCAATCACAACCAAGGACGTGCACTTTGGCTGTCTGATCAATATGTCTCTAAATTCTGTCGACCGCTGTTGCCTGATTAAAGGTTTAAAAAAATGCACACCATTTGTAGTGTCTGGTGATTCTTCTTGGCTATCAATAAAAATGCCTGTGTAGTGTCATTTACACGGCCATTTAAAGTACAAACTCAGGTGAAAATTGTTTTAAATACTGCATGCATGGATAGAATGATTTGTGACCCCTGATAATATTCAAAGAAGGACTTTAAGGAAAGTACATGTATATTTATCTAACTTCTAATCTTCCTCTGGCTGGAAACTCTTCAGTCTAGCGTATACAGTGGGGCAAAAAAGTATTTAGTCAGCCACCGATTGTGCAAGTTCCCCCACTTAAAATGATGACAGAGGTCAGTAATTTGCACCAGAGGTACACTTCAACTGTGAGAGACAGAATGTGAAAAAAAAATCCATGAATTCACATGGTAGGATTTGTAAAGAATTTATTCGTAAATCAGGGTGGAAAATAAGTATTTGGTCACCTCAAACAAGGAAAATCTCTGGCTCTCACAGACCTGTAACGTCTTCTGTAAGAAGCTTTTCTGTCCCCCACTCGTTACCTGTATGAATGGCACCTGTTTGAACTCATCATCTGTATAAAAGACACCTGTCCACAGCCTCAAACAGTCAGACTCCAAACTCCGCCATGGCCAAGACCAAAGAGCTTTCGAAGGACACCAGGAAAAGTATTGTAGACCTGCACCAGACTGGGAAGAGTGAATCTACAATAGGCAAGCAACTTGGTGTGAAAAAATCAACTGTGGGAGCAATCATCAGAAAATGGAAGACATACAAGACCACTGATAATCTCCCTCGATCTGGGGCTCCACGCAAGATCTCATCCCGTGGGGTCAAAATGATCATGAGAACGGTGAGCAAAGATCCCAGAACCACACGGGGGGACCTGGTGAATGACCTGCAGAGAGCTGGGACCAAAGTAACAAAGGTCACCATCAGTAACACACTACAACGGCAGGGAATCAAATCCCGCAGTGCCAGACGTGTTCCGCTGCTGAAGCCAGTGCATGTCCAGGCCCGTCTGAAGTTTGCCAGAGAGCACATGGATGATACAGCAGAGGATTGGGAGAATGTCATGTGGTCAGATGAAACCAAAGTAGAACTTTTTGGTATAAACTCAACTCGTCGTGTTTGGAGGAAGAAGAATACTGAGTTGCATCCCAAGAACACCATACCTACTGTGAAGCATGGGGGTGGAAACATCATGCTATGGGGCTGTTTTTCTGCCAAGGGGACAGGACGACTGATCCGTGTTAAGGACAGAATGAATGGGGCCATGTATCGTGAGATTTTGAGCCAAAACCTCCTTCCATCAGTGAGAACTTTGAAGATGAAACGAGGCTGGGTCTTCCAACACGACAATGATCCAAAACACACCGCCCGGGCAACAAAGGAGTGGCTCCGTAAGAAGCATTTGAAGGTCCTGGGGTGGCCTAGCCAGTCTCCAGACCTCAACCCCATAGAAAATCTGTGGCTGGAGTTGAAAGTCCGTGTTGCTCGGCGACAGCCCCAAAACATCACTGCTCTCGAGAAGATCTGCATGGAGGAATGGGCCAAAATACCAGCTACTGTGTGTGCAAACCTGGTAGAGACCTATAGTAAACGTTTGACCTCTGTTATTGCCAACAAAGGTTATGTTACAAAGTATTGAGTTGTATTTTTGTTATCGACCAAATACTTATTTTCCACCCTGATTTACGAATAAATTCTTTACAAATCCTACCATGTGGATTCATGGATTTTTTTTCACATTCTGTCTCTCACAGTTGAAGTGTACCTCTGGTGCAAATTACTGACCTCTGTCATCATTTTAGGTGGGGGAACTTGCACAATCGGTGGCTGACTAAATACTTTTTTGCCCCACTGTAACTGTAAAACCTCACCTTCTATTGATGTTGCTGGTTTTGATACTGTGTTCACAGACCTCTGCAGCTCTTTCACCTTAAGTTGTGTTGGATTTATAGATTATATGTTCCAAAATTGACATGAAAGTCATTTAAAATATTGCACCATACCCAACATAACACAAATACGGTGCCACCTATGTTTGATTGTCAGTGATGATAACGCAATATACAACATTATAAACAAAATCAGGTGAACTGCAGCACAAATGCTGTGAAATGTTAATAAAAGTATAGATTAGTATAGTAGATTTTATAAATGTAAGTGTAAACAATAATATACACTCCTCATTTATTTGCACCAGAAAGGTGAATAACAAAGAGTTATGTCCTTAAAAAATCGGTGGGGAAAATACAGCAAAGATTTGACACAGGACCCGAGAGATGCATCTGACCCTTCAGTTGATCCTTCTGCTCTTTTGTCTCAGCATAAATGCTTTCATTGGAACAGTGGCTGTCAAGGAGAAATTCATAAAGGAAGGGAAACAAGAAGAAAATGCAGAAGTATGCCATATTGCACAAGAACTGCACTGAAAATCAGTGGACCTCAATGTTATTGAAGCAATGTGGGATTGTCTGGATAAGATAAGATAAACTTTATTAGTCCAACACGTGGGAAATTTGTTGGAAAATGGATGAATTGATGGAGAATGGAATGTCCTTGAGAAGTCTGGAGAACTATTCCTGAAGACTACTTAAAGAAATTACAAGAAAGTTTGTCTAAAAGAGCTCAGGCTGTGTTGATGAATAAGGGTAGTCATGCCAAATATTGACTTTCAAGTTTATTAGAATTGTTCAAACACTTTATGGATTATTTCCCTTTGTGTTTGCGTATTTCAATAAATATTTTCCTATCAAAATATATAGAAATGAGGAGGTGGCTCAAGGCTTTTGCACATTACTGCAGATTTTTAACAATTTATTTCTTTTAATTGAATGAAGAATGATCACACTTCTGAGAAAGCCTTTAAAGAATGAATATTTCTGTACAAGCTCATCTGAACAGTTCACTGAAGTGTCAAGGGCTTTTATCACACGTTTAAAAATCCCAATCTGATCAGCTCTGTGGGCTTGTGTTTCTGTCAGCTATCTGAGTGTTTGTTTAGACCAATTAATTATGGTTGGCAAATATTTTCATTTCCAAGGATGCATCGCAGTAGGGTGCCTCCAATCTCATTATCAGACTGTGTGCAGAAGTGGGAATGAGAATCAGCTCTGACACAAAGTGGTTTAAAAAAAATATGTGTTTAAGATAATAATCAATCACGTTTCGGGATTAAAATATTAGAGATTCATGGCAGAAGCTCTGACTCAGCCCTGACTCATCTAGGCATGGACTCTGCTAAACCCCTGAAGCTGTGCTGTGGTACCAAGATGTTAGCAACAGATTCTTTAAGTTCTAAAAGTTGCAAGGTGGGCCTCCCATGGATTGTACTTGTCTGTCCAGCACATCCCACAGATGTTCAATTGTATTGTAATCGGGGGAATTTGGAGGTCAAATCAACACCTCAAACTCACCGTTTTGCTCCTAAAACCATTCCTGAACCATTTTGCTTTGTGTCAGGGCTCATTATCCTGCTGAAAGAGGCCACCGCTATCAGGAAATAGCATTTCCACGAAAGGGTTTACATGGTCTGCAGCAATCCTCCAGTAGATGGTATGTGTCAAAGTAATGTGTGGTGCCAGGTGTTTCGCAGGTAAGTGACCTACATGCATCTGGCCATGCATGTAATGCAAGAGAAGACATGATTCATCCGACCACACCACTTCCTTCCATTGGTCCGTGGTCCAGTTCTGTTGCTCATGTGCTCATTATTGGCGTTTTCAGTTATGGACATGGGTCGGGAATTGTCAATTGTGAATTTCAGCTTCAGTAGCTCGCCTGCTGGATCTGGAAGCAGCAGGCAAGCCTACCTTCGTTCCTCAAGTACAGTACATCAGTGAGCCTTGGCCACCCATGACCCCATCGTAGGTTCACCACTGTTACTTCCTTGGACCACTTTTAATAGATCCTGACTACTGCAGATCAGGAAGATGGGAAAATCCCATCCAGTCATCTGATCATCAAACATTAATCCTTATACCTGCCCATTTTTCCTGCTTCTAACAAATCAGCTTTGGGGACAAAATGTTCAATTGATCCCTAATATATCCCACCCACTAACAAGTGCAATGATGAAGAGCGAATCAGTGTTATTCACTTCCCCTGTCAGTGGTCAGAATGTTATGTTTGATCAGTGTATAGAGAACTGACTAATCAGATTCATGAGATCAAAGAAGGCCTGTCTTCTACTTTAGATCAGAAGAGTTAAACATTTCAGAGAAAACTTCACTATGATGAAAATGCTGTATGACAGACCTGTTGTGTGACAGAAATCACTGACTCTGTGAACAAAGAGTGTGGAGTACCCGGCCCACCCTCAGAAAGAAGATCAGCTTGTCACAAGTAACAAAGAAAAGTGACAGAAAATCTCCACTTTGATGTTTTCAGAGAACTCACTAGAGACTAAAAAGGCACACTGTGTTATTTCATTGTATTGTCACACTGACAACAACAGCATTGTTAGTGTGCTGCTTCTGCTTCCATTACATATGTGTAAACTGGGGTTGATGCAGCACAGGCCTTGTTTTGTTGATTATACTGGAGTGCATAAATCTTTCCACTTAAACTGCTCTCAGCTCACTGCGTGACGA